TTTTTGTTTGTTTTGTTGTTGTTTTCGTTTTAAATTTTACATCCTTGGAGACGAAGGCTGTGTCATTTTTGATATTCAATTTGGGAAAGGCGGGACACCAGCGGGTGTTTGTGGGTTTTTATTTTTCCCAGTGTGCAACTCGGTCAGTAGAGTTGTTTAGTCGGTTGGGTTTCTGACACCTTGATTACATTTGGAGAAAGAGAAGGTAGGTAGGTGGCACATTCGCCCAGCCACACTCGCTTCATACATGCACATGAAAAATAAGAAATGAATTAATTAAAGGTATGGAACAATGACGCAAGCCCAAGGCCTTGGCAAGGATGGGGTTTTCTGGGTTAGACTGTGCCGCTTGCATTTGAATGGGGAATGCAAGCAACAGGTAGTGAAGCCTTTCTGTTTTACTGGTCTGTAGTGACTCCCTGGGCATTCAGAAGCACGTCTGGGTCAGTTTTAGCTGGTTTGTTATGTAAGCTAGTAAGTAATTCTTTTGCTTTTTCTTTTTTTCTGTTGGTTTTTCGAGACAGGGTTTCTCTGTGTAGTTTTGGTGCCTGTCCTGGATCTCACTCTGTAGCCCAGGCTGGCATCGAACTCACAGAGATCCCCGCCAGGCTCTGCCTCCCGAGTGCTGGGATTAAAGGCATGTGCCACCACCTCCCCGGTGTAAGTGATTCTTTTATTGGTGGTGGAGTTCAAGACAGCCTTGGCTGTCCTGGAACTTACTTGGTAGACCTCAAACTCACTGAGATCTGCCTACCTCTGCCTCCCGAGTGCTGGGGTTAAAGGGGTGTGCCACTACTGCCCAGCTAATAAGTAATTCTTAATGCTCTTCCTATGCAAGTTACATAAGTTACATCTGCATGCCTATTACCCAGTCACAGCCTGCGGGCACCAAGTAGGCCTCTAGTACCTATAGGAGAAAAGGGACTTAAGTTCAGTGAACATTTCTTAAGCCATATTCTCTGTGACCAGACATTGTGCTATGAGAGAAACTGCAGGTCTCATCTAACCGTTCTGTAGTTAATGTAACTTTATTATTACTTTTCTTCTTTTACAGTTTTTTTCAACTCCTGAGAATATAGGGGTTGATCCTCACATACTATTGTTCCATACCTTTAATTAATTCATTTCTTATTTTTTTCTGTGCATGTATGAAGTGAGTGTGGCTGGGTGCATGTGCCAGAACACACATGGGAAGGTGAGAGGAAGTCTCTGTAGCGTTGGCTCGCCTTCCACGTTTCTGCGGGTTCCAGGGGTTCGAGTCAGGCTGCCAGGCGTAGGCAGGATCACAGTATGAACAACTTAGACTTCTCCTTCCATCTTTCCGTGGGATGCTGGGATTGAACTCAGCTCACAGGTGTTGCATGGTGAGATGTTTTGCCCATTGAGACATCTTACAGGCCGTTTTCTGCCCTTCAAAAGCAACATGCCCTTCTTAGTGGAAATGTGACGAGTACAGAAAGTTAGTATTAATAACTACTATTTAGTAGTTATTATTAATTATTAAGTTAGTATTAATAACTACTACTAATAACACATTTCCCAATCCAGTCATCCCAACAAACACGGTTGCGGTTAGTTTTATTTTTTATTGCTAATTTGTTTTTCATCTTGTACGGATGACAGTAGGTGTGCATTTACACATCCTGTCCGCTCCTCAGTGTGACGTGGGTGTCCGCCACTTAATTTCTGCCTTTTCAACATACACAGCATGGGGATACACAAAACCCACAGCTTTGGGAAGCCACAGCTGCTTTTTTTATTTGAGGAAAGTGTGAGCATGATTTTTTTTTTCCTAAGACAGAGTTTCTAAACTGTGTAACAGCCCTGGTTGTCCTGGAACTCACTCTGTAGGCCATGCTGGCCTCAAACTCAGAGAGATCCTCCTGCCTCTGCCTCCCGAGTGCTGGGATTAAAGGCATGCACCACCACCGCCCGGCTCAATTCTTTTAAGACAGACATTCTCTTCAGAGTCTGCTCTGATGTAATGCCTGCTTTGGAAAGGAAGTTGGTCTTGGTTGGTGCCTTAGGGGACAAGCTTACTCTTCCTCAGATTTCCCGTTGTATGTGCATAAGTTTTGTTGAGAAGGAATACCAGGTGGGTACATAAAATGACACCCGTTTATACATTTCAGAGGTTGGAAGGGATGCAGGGATGAATTGACCTTACTGGCATCCTTAGTTGGCACTGCTCAGGTTATCTCACATTCTGCTTTTCTCTAAGCCAGCAGTGACCACATGAGCATGGGAGTAAGTAAAACTAGACAGATAAACCTGAGAAAACGTTTGAATTTTAAAAAAAAAAAAAAAAACTGTCTGGAAAGACGATCAGAACTTTGGGATGCGGCTGTGGCCCTTTCATGGAAAGCCATTCCTTTCGAAACTCCTCCCTGTTCCTTACAGGGAGTACGTGTCACAGTTTTCATAGAGTCTGGGTGTCGGCTTTGAGTTCTAGTTGTGTGTGCTTGCGTTTCAAGGAAGGGGAGGCGCAGGGCAGGTCGTGGTACCCAGCAGGGCGGTGAAAGCCTGGGGGTGTGCAGCCCAGTGCACCCCAGCAGTGTGCTCACTGGTTGCTTAGAAGGTCGTGATCCGTCCAACACCTCTGAATGTTGGATACCCATTGTTTAATAGGCTTTTACCCATGGGTCTTGCATTTCATCTCATTGCTGAGCTTGAAAGTGTCCGTATGAGTGGAAAATTCCTCCGCCTGTAATCTCTTAATGCTACCAATCTCATTCTCATGAGAGCTTTAGAATAACAGTGTTATTTTCCTGAGCGCAGCAGAACCCTCTCATCTTTCACAGAAGATGTGAAAATTCCCAGGAGGGGAAAACTTCCAGTAAAAGGGGGGGGGGTGCCCTTTGTCTTTGATGATCCTGCTTATTAGTTTCCCTTTACTGACCGTCATATTTAATATCTCTGTGGCCAAGAGTAGACGGTCCTCGATGGATCTTGGGTCTGTGTTAACATTCCTAACCAGAACATCGCAAACCTTTTGGAGTTCATGAAACAATTTTTCATTCTGAATATTTTCCATTGTGCATATCCGGCCTACAAAATAGGTTGAAAACATTTCTGTTTTAGGATAAACAGCTAAATTTGGCAACGAAATCAAGTAACACAGTCTCATGATTATGACCACATTTCTTTCAAATCTGGTATGTATGAGGGGAATAGAGAGCTGATTTAATTTTTCTGCAGTTATTCTTTGCTTTTACACATACATAGGATTTCATTTATGTATTGACATGCCTAACGTTCAAGGGTCTTCCAGCTGATAAGCGAAACTTCTAAAACTTGGTTTTGCCACTTTTTTTAATGATGTTTATTTTTTCATATTTATAGAGTAATGCGATAATTCACTGCATGCTTACAGTGTAATGGTCAGATTAGGGCAGTTAGGATATCCAATCCCTTATGGTGGTTATATGACTATTGTAGGAATTTCTGTACTCATATTTATTCTGAAGTATATCATAAACTATTGTGGACTAAATTCCCCTACTTGATCTAGAATACCATAGCAAATTCCTCCTGTGGACCTATATGTTTGTATACACTATGTAATCTCCATGTCCTGTTCCCCCCTCCCCCGCTCCCCAGTCTCTAGTGGTCACCGCTCTCCTGTCCTCTCTGAGATGATAGACCTTTGTACCCAGCCTACGTGCCTTTCCCCCTAGCATGTCTTTCATTTCTCCACCAGTGACGAGAGTTGGTTCTTTTTTATTATGCTGGACAGTACATTCTTGTGTACTAATGCTGCTGCATTTTCTTTTTTTGTGTTGGATCAAAGTTCTCTGATCGTTTCATGCACACACAGAGTGCGTTTTCCTTACATCTACCCTCACCCTCCTCTGTCTCCACCACCCTTTTTATTCTCTGTCCCCATCCTTTTCTTCACACGTGTGTGTAACTGGAGTTTTCCTAGTCCTGCCTGGCCCACAGTCAGGACAAATCTCGCTCACCCGCCAGTCCCGCAGTCGCTCGGACCCAAGCAAACACACAGAGACTTATATTGCTTACAAACTGTATGGCCGTGGCAGGCTTCTTGCTATCTAGTTCTTATATCTTAAATTAACCCATTTCTATAAACCTATACCTTGCCACGTGGCTCGTGGCTTACCAGTACCTTACATGTTGGCAGCTGGCGACTCCTGACTCAGCCTTCTTCCACCCAGCCTTCTCCTCTCTCCTTGTCCCGCCTACACTGTCCTTCCTGCCTGGCTGCTGGCCAATCAGCGTTTTATTTATCAATCAATCTTAGAACAACATATATTCACAGCATACAGGACATCCCACAGCACGTGTACCTTTCTTGTGTCTTGCGACCCTTTCAGTGATTAAGTCCTTCAGTTTCTCAATTTCTGCCGGTTTCTTTTCTTTTAGGATTCTTAATTGCCGTTGAATTTTTCATTGATCTCATGGCTGTGTCCTTCGCTTATTGAACTTATATTCTGTTGTATCCCATTGGGTTTCCTTGGTATGGTTATTTTGAATTTTCTTTTCAACAACTTAATAGATAATGTCTTTCATGTTGGCATCATCTTTTCGTGTGGTGGTTCTCAACCTTCCTACTGCTGTGACCCTTTAATACAGTTCCTCATGTTGTGGTGACCCCCCCCCCCAGCCATAAAATTATCTTTGTTGATACTTCATAACTCTAATTTTGCTGCTGTTTCAAATCATAATGCAAACATCTGATATGCAGGATATCCGATACGTGACCCCGTGGAAAGGGTCATGTGACCTGCCAGTTGAGAACCACTATTCTAGGGTTACTCTGTTCTGCTCTGTTGGATATATGCAATGTTGTGGTATTTGCT